AATATATATATATATATATATATATATATATATATATATATATATATATATATATATATATATATATATATATATAATATATATATATATATATATATATATATATATATATATATATATATATATATATATAATATATTATATATATATATATATATATATATATATATATATATATTATATATATATATATATATATATATATATATATATATATATATATATATATATATATATATATATATATATATATATATATATATATATATATATATATATATATATATATATATATATATATATATATATATATATATATATATATATATATATATATATATATATATATATAATATATATATATATAATATATATATATATATAATATATATATATATATATATATATATATATATATATATATATATATATATATATATATATATATATAATATATATATATATATATATATAATATATATATATATATATATATATATATATATATATATATATATATATATAATATATATATATATATATATATATATATATATATATATATATATATATATATATATATATATATATATATATATATATATACACACACACATACATACATATATATAGAGAGAAAGAGAAATCAAAAGAGAGAGAGAGAGAGAGAGAGAGAGAGAGAGAGAGAGAGAGAGAGAGAGAGAGAGAGAGAGAGAGAGAGAGAGAGAGAGAGAGAGAGAGAGAGAGAGAGAGAGAGAGAGGAATCAACAGAGAGAGTGAGAGAGAGAGGAATCAACAGAGAGAGTGAGAGTGAGAGTGAGAGTGAGAGAGAGAGGGAGAGGAATCAAGAGAGAGAGAGAGAGAGAGAGAGAGAGAGAGAGAGAGAGAGAGAGAGAGAGAGAGAGAGAGAGAGAGAGAGAGAGAGAGAGAGAGAGAGAGAGAGAGAGAGAGAGAGAGAGAAATCAAGAGAGAGAGGGAGAGGAATCAAGTGAGAGAGGGAGAGGAATCAAGTGAGAGAGAGAGAGAGAGAGATATGACATTATAATTCATAAATATGCCTCCAACATTACATCACTGAGTACATCTCTGTGCTTATACATAAACATCCAAACTCTGTTAACACATTCATACATACATCAAATCTACTGTTATTACAAATAACCTAACTCAAAGAGCATATTTTAATAGTCAGCTCAGATACTCAGCATATCAACTTCTATTCGATTAATATAGTGAGCATACATAAGCAAACAGCAGTCATCTCATAAAAGAATTTGTTCTTTATATTAGAATAACTATTATTACAATCTTGTGAAATGTATATTAGTGTAACTGTTGTTGTACAGTAACAATCACTGAAAGTAAGTCAAACCAATATTTTTATGTCGCATAAAGCTATAATAACTGAAAAATTAAGTATTAATACTTTGGTAGAAAGTTCACAGTTGGAAGGTTCAGAAATGAAAATAGAGAGATAACATGTGAACATAAGAAATAGTGACTATCTGATCCACTTGTTACCTTGTGATTATAATGTTATACATACAGTAATGATAATTAGGTCTTAATCACCCTACACTTACCTCAAGGTGTCCCATTATCTTACAAAAAATAGTAATATACAATATGCTTTTAAGGCACCCTAAGGAACAAGGCATTTTGAAGTTTATAAACACTGACATACTATTTAACAGAAAATAATACAAACTCACAAAGTTCACTAACTTTGACTTACATTGGTCTGTTTCTAAATTGCTTATCCAACTGCAGTTTTACATAAGCATTCAAGAAAAAATTGCAATCAAAGAGTAATCTTTGCTACACATTAAACAAAGCTTTCTAGTCTAACACTACTGAAACATGTAGTAGGAGAGAGAAGGCTCGTTGCTGTGTTTACTGGAACGTGCTTTGGTGTGTCTTGCTTTTCACACTCCTGGTATAAGGCCACTTCGGATAAAGAAAGAAAGATTTCTGAAGAGAGAAAAATATCCAGAAAAGGGAAAAAGAAGACAGAATAATTAAGTGGAAGAAGACAAAAACAATAAGAGACAAAATGCTAGACTAAAATATGACAACTTCATGACCATCCACAAACTGAAAATGAAATTTTGACAAATATCAAAATGTTTTTTGTTAAAAATATTTAAATCTCAAAGGTCTAAAGCAGGAATGAGCATAGAATCTCTTTTAAAATAAGATAAATCTCATTTCCTACAAAATTTGGTTTGGTTTCAATGAATGTTATCTGACATTAAATATGTATAATCTAAAAATAAGAAACTGTTAACTTGTCACATTCTCATAAAAAACTACAGTGTGATACAGTGGGGGAGGGGGGGGGGGAATGTGTACCAATCAACATTTAGATAAAGACAGCCCAAGAAAAACACAGCTATGATAATTAAAAACTGTTACTGTAAACATGTTCATACTGATGAGAAACCTCCTCATCTATAGGCACCAGTCATAAATATCACAACGAACCTGTGAACACAGACAGAGAAATTTGGAGAAATGAACTGTGAATATCAAATTTCATGATAAACTAAGGAGTTGTAAGCACTTGAATCAGGAAATTTTCCAGTCTATCTATTATGGTCATGTTGTTCATGCCTTAAACCCAGGTCTTCAAGTTAGATATATTGTTGAGACTTCTTTTTTTATGCATTGTAAATAATATTATCATCACCGTCATCAACAACTAATCCTAGCTGCATTGCATCTAGTACATATACATATGTATATATGCCTTACATTTTTAAAAATTTTCATATATATGTGTACATAATTGCATCAATGTATCATTCAAGAAAGTATTAAAATAATCCAACACATAACACTATGTACTTCTCTTCAATATAATCTTAATGGCAAACAGTAAACTTCTGGTCCAAACCAATATATTTTGCCCAAATTACTTATCAATTACATGATATGACAAAGAAAAATATTTTGTCATGAGCAATAGAATACTTTATTGTCAAAGAAACTGAAGCTAATAATAACAAAAATAAAACATGATCTTTAAACTTCCAATTTCTTTGGGACTATGATAATGCTGTAGGTTTAAAGATGGCTGGGGTAACATTTTTATTTTGGTATAAACACACTTTCACAAAAAAAGAAAGAAAGAAAGAAAGAAAGAAAGAAAATTGTTCATGCTAACTCATGCCAAATATGTGCAGAGTACATCCATACCACACTTATTCTATGCATTTCTTTGGAAATGTGTGCACAATTCCACACTTGCATCAGAGAGAGAGAGAGAGAGAGAGAGAGAGAGAGAGAGAGAGAGAGAGAGAGAGAGAGAGTGTGAGAGAGAGAGTGTGAGAGAGAGTGTGAGAGAGAGAGAGAGAGAGAGAGTGTGAGAGAGAGTGAGAGAGAGAGAGAGAGAGAGAGAGAGAGAGAGAGAGAGAGAGAGAGAGAGAGAGAGAGAGAGAGAGAGAGAGAGAGAGAGAGAGAGAGAGATATAGCGAGTGAGCGAGTGAGCTTCAAGCACTGCAAATATATGCAGTGCCATTTAGTAGTACATTTTCAAATTTGAATTAATCTTGAAAATAAATTTACAACTTTACCAAGTACCAGTATTTTCATAATCAGAATATCCTCACTGGAGATAATATATATAAAGTAACAATAAATAATAACTCAAATTCAAACTTTCAATAATTCTACCACCATGCAGTGGTGAACCTTCCTTCTCTCTGTTCTGGAATGTTACCTACATGTAAGCCATTGGATGGGGTGTATTAGCAATATTCCTAACTTTTATCCTACCCAAATAATTCCTTGGTCTGAGGGGAAAAAGTAGCACAATGGTGACAATCTATACAAAACAACATAGAAACAACAGCTATGAATGCACAACTACAAACACAGTGAATGCATGCAAAATCATGCATAATACAAAGTTTAAGCTATGGGTTTTTTAAATTACGATACACTCACTCCCAAATTTAAAAAGACATACAATATATGCAGATTGATGAGTTCAGTGACTACAATCTAAGCAATACTATTCTTGAGATGATAGTTAAATTATCTGCTGGGTGAAAACTTATGGTGAAGACTTTGAATATTTGTAGTCACAGACTTCAGTATATATTGTAAATGTTACAATAATCAAAATCTGCCATTGATAAATTTGGTATAATTCACTGTGGACGCAATGAAGAGAAAATAATCTGTACAAGTCCAATTTATTAATTGAACATTAAAACTGTTGAAATACCTTGGGAATTTTCCTTATTCCAACTAATAATAGCAGCCATAAAGTAAAATTTTGAGAGAAAACACCCACATCAAGAACAAACTTGTGGAAACCTTAAAACAACAATTAATCAGCTGATTTTAAGTATTAACTATCCAACAGGCTACTGATGCAAAGCTTATTCTTTAAAATATGTTTTCACAATCTGGAACCTAGAGTAACAATTTTATCACTATAACCTAACAGGTGTTAAAAGTTCTTGAATAATATAATTATACTAATAATAACTGGTTTCCCTATTTTAAGGCACGAACCATTTAATGGCCCGCTAGGACAAGCTTCCTTTAGGCAAATCTTTGGGGTTCGTTTATAAATTAATATTGCCACAAACTTTGACCCACCTGTCAAAGGCATGTTGCATCAGTGTGTAGTTATCACAGCTTTGCTTCTGCTGTGTGCAAATACGTAATAGATAAACAGAAAGAGCTTGGAGGAGGAGAGGCGGGGATATGGAGAGGGAGGGAGGGAGAGGGGGAGGGGGATGAGGGTAGGAGGGAGAGAGGGAGGGAGAGAGAGAGAGAGAGAGAGAGAGAGAGAGAGAGAGAGAGAGAGAGAGAGAGAGAGAGAGAGAGAGAGAGAGAGAGAGAGAGAGAGAGAGAGGGAGAGGGAGAGGGAGAGGGAGAGGGAGAGGGAGAGGGAGGGAGGGAGGGAGGGAGGGAGGGAGGGAGAGAGAGAGAGAGGGAGAGGGAGAGGGAGAGGGAGAGGGAGAGGGAGAGGGAGAGGGAGAGGGAGAGAGAGAGAGGGGAGAGGGAGAGGGGGAGAGGGAGAGGAGGAGAGGGAGAGGGGGAGAGGGAAAGGGAGAGAAAGAGATTAACAGGGAGAGGAAAAAGAAGAAAGATATGAGGAACAAGGGAGAAAGATGGGAAATTATGATGTCTTCATTTTACAGACATGCAATGCCAAATTTTCTATCATTTATATAAATTTCATATCTCTAAAATGTAAAGGGGATGGCCCATCCCATTTTACCAGGATCTATTTTGGTATCATCTGATAAAGGCTATCAAGTGAATTTAGTCTGATAAGCAGTTTTGACAGAAATTGCCCTTAAAGTGCATCCAGCCACCTAGCCAAATGTGCATACAAAATTGCATCCCAGAAAATGCAGGATGCTCTAATGACATCACAATAGAAAATTAAAATGATGCAACTATGGTGTCTCATGCAGAACTGACTAATAATTACTTGATTTTTTTTCTGATAAAATTTGTTTTACAAATAATAACAAAGATGGATGTGTGTAATAGAGACTGAGAATGTTGCAGAAGGTTGCTTAAGAGAGGAGCTAGAGATGGACTTAAAGAGACTGAATGCTTCTGCGATGTTATCAAGGCTCTTGTGCTTTTCTGGAAACTCAAACTTGATGCATAGAGAAAATACTTTATGGGTAGATGTTGTCAAAACTACTCATTATATTAATTATAACTGCTGATTAACTTCATCATATGGTACCACAGAACAAGAAAAAAGAACAAAAAGAGAATAGAGAACTGTTTTGGGCTCTGGCCACTTCTTTCAAAATGAAAACTGTCCTATATGGTGATGGTTATCATTCTGCTGGATATAAAAGAAATACAAGCTGCCTCCTTCAGTGACCAATTTTATAATGGCACTTGGTATTTAATGTTTCTTCTGTTCTGACCTTAGCTTTCATTTTTCAACCAAGTTTTGGTCACAAGGTATCTTAGTAAGATTCATGGCAAGATACATATATAATCCTACTTAGTAATTCACCTCCTTAATTGTCCAAACTGATGTTATAGTCGTTTTGACAGTCATTATTTGATTTTCTAGCATTTTTAACCACAAATTATCAATATCTACACAGATAACCACTGGTAATCAATATAACATTTTGTACTTTAACTTATATATAAACACAGAAAAGAACCTTAAGTCACATGGCTGACATTTGATGCACAATACAGTTGCAAACTTCCATGTAGTAAAGTAGTCCACCCACTAGATTTATTTACTAACTCTTTCAGTCCTATTCACCATTACTCAGGATAACTGCAAGATGGGTACAATCCCATTTGTAATGGCTGTGGTAGGCCTGTCAAAAACAGGTGGAATTTCTTCCCCAAAGTTTTTTGTTTTGAGACAAATAGTTTCCACTAACATATCTGATACTCTCCGGCGAGTCTTCTAAAGCCACACCCACAATATCACCACCATGCTACTCCTCAATTTGAAGGTCCTTCTCTGCCTAGGCTAACTACACAACCATGTTTGCCTGCCCTCTTGTGAAGGAAGTGTAGTGAGTGTGAAGTAATAGTTCTGGTACTGTATACCATATTTCTTCCAGCCAAACCTGATATCTTTTCCTCTTCTTATACTGCCTTCTATATACAATGCTGTTACTACCACAGTTATCTCCTGGAATATCCTCGTCTCTTTACTATCTACACATCTGCATACATATAAATACATCTAAATACACATTATTTTATATGATAATTTTTTTTCTTTATGTGTTGTATTTACATAATCATAATAATCTTTTCCCATTTTCATCCATGACCAAGGAGTAACTGTGATTACTTTTTCAGCTTTGCACTCTACTGACACTTATATTTGAAATATACCAATGAAATATACATTTTCTAATGCATAAATGCCTACACCAAAAATTTACTTTGGTGAAACTTGAAAATTCCTTTTTTTCAGAAACCTGGAGGGTTTGGAAGTTCTATGCTGTCATGGAAATTATACCCACATGAGATAAAATATTTATCAAATAATTACTGATAATAAAACATTGTGCATATGATAGGTCTAAATGATCTAAATGACAGATATATGCAGAAAACACAAGTCCCATGTAAGTTTACCTGCGTCATAATATATATCTTATATTTTTGTACAAATTTCCAATGGATGTTTCTATAAATGTAAATAATTTAGCATCAAAATTAGAAGTAGAAGAAGAAGAAGAAGAAGAAGAAGAAGAAAAAATATATAAAAGATTCATTCAGACAATGAAAAGGTGATCAAGTAGAATTATATGTACTGCTGTGAATCCTTCTATGACTGTTCTTCCATGAAATCTAAGATCAATAATGTAACCTTAGCATCAGTATCTACTGCAAGGAACCTTTAGTTTCTTTTTTACTCCAAAAGAGCCTACAATACTCCATGTACTAATCTCCTAGCCTTGTACCTTTACTTGTACCATAACTAACTATGGCATCACAGTAATGCCTCAGGAGGTTCATTCAGTATTTATTTTTAGAAAGACAAAAGATCTTGAAACAAAACAAACACAGAAAACTGGCTAATTTAATATATCCATTCAATACTCTTCCAAAACCAACTCTGTCATAAAGAAATACTTGACATACTAGCATCACTGCAATCAAGCAGGTCATATTTCACCTCTCCCTTTTCCTTTTATATAGTTTTCATTTCCGTCACTAAAGCCAACACTTCTTTTGAGTAGTTAATAGCCCTCACAACTCGCTGCAAATTTGTTATCTTTGAGGTTAGAGAAACCTTTACATCTAACATCCTACTGAATCATGGCTGACTTTACTGAGGTTAAGCCATGTTTGCTCCTACACTAATCAGAACTGACCTTAAAGCTCACATCAGATACAAACATAGGACAATCAGCTGGATTTTTGTGCCTGGTTTCTTCTTCATCCCTATCTTAGGTTGTCTCTGTATACATGTTCCCCGATTCCTCCTCAACCATGGACTGGAATGATTCCATCGGTTGATCAGTACTACCTTGATCAGAGATACCTTGGTCATCTCCTTCATTTCCTTCCACCGTTATTTCTTCTAACGCTGTTATGTGTTCTGAGGACCTTACTGTTGTATTTGAGTCATCTATAATCTCTGGTTCTTCACTATCATCCTTTTCCCCATTAACCTCAGACCCATTATGAGAATTCTCGGCAATGCTTTCCATATTGCTGTCTTCACTTACTAAACCACCACTGTTTTCAGGAGGGTTAGAATCATCTCCAACAGCATCCACAGCAGCATTGGCAGAATTTGAATCCTCACTGTGGTTAACATTGCCGAATGTATTTTCTGAACTACTGTTGTCTGTGCCTAGGAGAAGTGCAACGCGACTTTTGTTCTTGCCATTGTCTGTCAGGTGTGCAAAGAAAGTATTTGTGTCTACGCCAAGTCTTACAGCTGCTGCAGTGAGTGAAAGCTCCTTGTTGAGGACACGCTGTATAAGTTCCTGTGCACGAGACTCTTCCCAAATAGATCGCTCCTTCTGCCCAGATCCTGGAGTGCGTCCTGGCTTGTTCACCTGGAATAAATTTATTGTTATAAAACAGCAACTAAATTTGACATCCCTATTATTTCATTAATTCTATAGAGGGAAAGAGCTTAAACATAATGACACCATGATGCTGGGTAGCAACATACTTTTTTCTAAATGCACCCAAACTTAGTTTATCACTTTTTTCTGATTGACAACAGAAAATTGAAGAAGAGGATGCAGAAAGAAAAGAAAAGAAAATAGAGGGAGGAAGATAAGAAGATTAGACAAAAAAGAGAAAAAAATGAAGAGGAAGGAAAATAAAAAAGAAGAAAAGAAAGAAAGACAGAAAGAAAGAAAAGAATAGGGAGAGGAAGAAGAAGAAAAATTAAGAAGATACCTTAATTTGTAATTGTTTACTTCATTTTATCAATTCAGACTTGGAAAAATCTTTAATAATAAGACCCTTTTGGTCCTATGATTCATTTCAATAGGAAATATCTTGATAAAACTTCTTTCACTCAAACAAAGCATATTGAACATACTGAAAATTAATAAATAAGCAGGTGAACTGTACACACTTCTTCCAATTTTACAGTGCATAAGGGGTTTGCCACCTTTTGCACTGGCTCGCCACGCTTTGGTGTGCCGCGGCGGTGCACAGCCGCACACCACTTTTCTATCTTGTTTTCATGTTCAAACCTTCCAAAGTTTATGATATTTGCAAAGATAAAAAGAAATGTTTTTCAATACATTTCATACTTTCGTTGCTCAAAAATAATGGCCTAATCTACACACCAAAACAAAAAATCAGTGAAACAATATATTTGCGAGTAAATGTATCTCCTGTTTCCTCTTCAGTGGTTTTAGTGTTTTTCAATCAATTTCCAACAATTTGCAACAGAACAATTAAATGGTAAGCTCCATTTACACTACAGTTAATCTATATTGGGTAATAGGGCTGGGTGGGGGGTGAGGAAGCATAGTTGGGAACAGAGCTGTAATGGTGCATTAGCTTGCCCACCAGTCTTGATTTTTGGTGTTTATAAATATATATTAACAATATGTCAAATTAATATGATGCAACAACCTTTTTTTTTTTTTTTTTTTTTTTTTTAAGAAACAACCCTCAAATTACGGTAAACTTAGTCAGCCGAGGGGAGCTTTACCAAGGTTTAAGTTATCAATGGATGCAAGCAACATTCGTAAGCCCCACCTATTGGCACATTCAAAATTATACAAGAATATTTTCATCAATGCAGATATGTATAATCTTTATGATTTTTTTTTTTTTGCTCTTAGAATATGATAAAACTATGCTAAATTTCTGTGAAATAATATGGGCGGGTTTAGCAACTACATTATGGTCAACCCTGACCATTTGTTTGTGGGCAGTTTTGCACCTCACTGACTCTTAATTACTTTTAATCTGGCTCAAGAAAATGTGAACAACAGAGTACTGTGAATAGGGTAGGTATATCTTAACCACAGAAATACACTCATTGGACTAGAAAAGAACCAATGGAGAAATGTGTATATGGAAGAACATGTGAAAAGAAAAGGATATGAAAAACAAGCTAAACAACAAACATGAGATGAAAAGGTTATTCTAGAAGCACTTAGATGCATCTAAACCTGTAATCTGGCTGCGACTTGGCAATTTCTAGAAACCAAGACTGAAGCTATACTGAGTGAGTCAATTTCTGTTTTCCTTTTGATAATAATTCATCCAAAGTATTAGAGAACTGACACTTTTTAAAAGTCAGTAGTGGCAGTTTACTATTTTATTGTGGAGTATTTATTATTAGATAATCAGAGTATCTAATGATAAAGCAGGAAGAAAAAAATCTATAGCATCCCATCAATAACATAGGAAATTTATATATTTTCACATAGTTCACATAGTCCCTACAAAACACAAACAAACAAACACACACATACACACATACACACACACACTCACACACTTCCTGGGGGTCATTTAGCAATATGAAAATTATGACATTGAATGACACTGAATTTTATCTAGCCTACAGTATCTATGTATAATTATCTCACATATCAATAAATTGGAATCTTTCAATTGTATACTTCCCCATTTTGGGTCCGCAGCCTCGTCCTTGCAGGCGTTTCACCAAACTCTCTGCCACTGCCAAGATCTGACTGGTTGACATGGACACCTCACAACTCTCTCATTGGACCGCAGGCTCACCTTGTTCCCTGTTCACTTACAACAGTTTTGCACAATTTGCCCCTCAAAATGACCACCCATGAGATGCCGTTTTT